AATCCGTGAATCCGTGAAGTGCTTCCTATAACCTCTCGACTGAGCAGTGCTACACCCTTTTTTCACTTGTGCCTTTCAGGTGAACGACAGCCACTGACCGACAAGAACAAAACCGACCCGGGAAACTTTGGCAAAAGCCTCGATCCTGTGTATCAATCCGTGAATCCGTGAATCCGTGAAGTGCTTCCTATAACCTCTCGACTGAGCAGTGCTACACCCTTTTTTCACTTGTGCCTTTCAGGTGAACGACAGCCACTGACCGACAAGAACAAAACCGACCCGGGAAACTTGGGCAAAAGCCTCGATCCTGTGTATCAATCCGTGAATCCGTGAAAAGCCTACAGAGCTTACTCTGAAGTGTTATGCTCTGCCCCAGTGACCTTTTGACGTCACTAATCCTGTCAAGACCTTACCAGGTACGGCCGTTATTGGACTTGATCTTAACAGTGAAGATGCTTGTCAACTATTGTACGAGACATACCCCTTCAACCCACTGAAGCCAAAATAGGTTCTTCTAAGAATCGTTAAGGGAGCATCATTCAAAATGGCAACGTATTTCTACCTAGTATTTTGTTAGTCGCTCAACGAGGGCGAACGTCCTCCCCTAGATTGAAAAAATTGTCAGGCCTTTCTACAAAACGAGTAACACCTATCACCTCACAGGTCCATTAGTCCCACCAATATTAATAACAGCAATTCGAATCCACTGATGCCAGACGATTTCCCCCAAAGCCACTCTTGCATGCTCATATTTACAGACAGCCTAACAAAAGCTAAGGGCAAAGAACCCATATAGGATGGGACATTTTTAACTTCTCAAAAGCATTTGATCGAGGCTTACATGTTACGCTGCTCCATAGTGTTGACTCTTCAATTACCTAGGGTAAAATTCAAGGCTGGATAAAATTTTCTCCATCAGCCAGAAAATTCCGAGTGAAAGTGATCTGGGATAACAATACTTCGGCACCGATCTCTTCTAATGTTCCCAAAGGGTCTATCGTGATCCTTCTGACCATTGTACATTAGTATGTTCTTTGTAACTTATCATTACTCAGATTTTACCACTTTCTATCTCTCACTAAATCTCAGCTTATTCCCCTTCTCTGCATACCGAACAACTTTTGTTTAAATGAAAGCAAAGAAATATGGGGGCGTACACACAATACAAATTCTGTACGTCGTGGAAGGCGTGTCCCCTTCTTGCTGTGTCGAGTTACGCTGCCGGTGAATTAACGAGCGATGATCTGCCTTTCAGACTACGACGGGAGAGAAGGTATCTAGGAATATATTAAGGCGGATTCCAGGAAGGAGATCGACTTGGATATATTGTGTTGGTAATAACCAACTGTACCAACGAACTGTGGGTTGTATCATCTCGCCTATTTTTAATCACTTGATTTAACTACTTTGAACTGGTGTTTGCTAGCGTTATCCACTACAGGTCCGCTCTGGGACTGCTTCTGTTTTTAATCTGCGTCGACAATCTTCCAGATGTTGTTTCAAGTTCTTGCCTACTTTATGTGGACGACTTGTAATTCTGTGGTACCAACACTCGTTCAGATAAATCGGTCAGCTGTTGCACCCTTTCGGCGCCTAACTGCCATGCTACCCGAAGGTTGGATGAGGGCTGGGATACTGCCAGGTTGCCCAAGCCTAGACAGGGGAAGTCGAGATGCAGAGGTCGGGTTCGAACCACGGACCTCGCGGTCAGTACATTCGCGCTTTAACCAAATCGGCCATCTCGCCTCAACACTCGCGTTCTTCAAATTGCTGTAGATGCTGAAAAGTAGCAAACAACGTCCTGGCGACCTCCTCCAAGTGACAAAAAGTTCGACCAAATAACATTCGGGGGGGGGGGGCAGTGGAAGATTTTGTCGCGCATTGTGGGGATGAACCAGAAGACATTGCGATAGGTAGAGAGGATTTCGGTATCTGGCTTTCTTTAGACTTACTATTGTCATTTCACTGTTTGCCGTTTCACGGGTGTTTTCGCGCGCCTTCCTCCGAATTATTCGCAAAGACTTCCAGATACTTTTTGTTGTTACGTTACACTGTTAACCAGGCTACCTACTTATAACGCAAGAAAGACGTAAACATCATTTGGCTTGTCCAACAAACTGCTGCGGAAATGCCTGCCCGCTTTGAATCCATGCATTATGAAAATCATTTCGTCTAGCTGGCATTTTTCCCTGGAATATCGTCGCCTGTGAGGACAACCAATGCATATTTTTGCCCTGTTTGAACAAAGTTTGGTCCACAGGTTTTTTACCTTTGACCCAAGAAACGCATGGTAAGAGCACGGGGAAAAGATATTCAAGCCCAGAGTGCTCACTTTTATTGGACAATGATCTCTCTCATTTTGGGTAGTTACTGCGTGGAATAGTCTTTTTCCGATGGTTGTTCATGCTGCATCTAGTGCCCATTTCAAGGCACTTTTAGACGCTTTTTAAGTGGGTCCTTACGCTGACAAGAATACTGCTCCACGCCGAGAACCTAAAGAGCAGTGCTTCAGCCTTTTTATGCCTCTCAGATGGACGAAGGCCACCGAACGGTAAGAACAAACCCGCCCGGGAAGCTGGGGCGAAACTTCGATCCTATGCATCATCCTCTTAATCCGTGAATCCTTTAATCACCTAATAGAGATGCATGAAACATGCCGATTGAGGCATGACCGGGATCACATGGTAATGCACCGAATGACTTTTTGAGTGATGGCATCTCACAAGGTAGGTCACTCATCTAATAAAGCTCTTCTTTCTCCGATCCAATTGTTTTCTCAGTAGTATGGGGAGAGTTTATAACTTTTTAGCTTGAACGTCGTCTTGTGGGGCCAAGACACGTCATCTTCTTGAAATCAGTTTACTTCACCAATCGAATGGATGCTCACAAGAAACACATATGTCGCATCAGATTCAGAATGAGGATGACCAAAATACTCCAGCTGCACCGAAAGACAATAGAAGTCACAAGAAAATAAGGAGGTCTCACCAGTCAACAAAGTGAAAAAATCGGCAACGTGGTGGCTAGGCCAAGGCGCAGAATTTGGATGCGCCGACGTTATGTTTACTGAGTAGAGTAGTGAGGCTAAGTATGAAAAAGCAGTGTTGAATTTTACGAACTTTTTTCTTTAAAAAGACCCAGGGCCGTCAGGTGACAGGACTAAAATCAGCGTTGTACGCGCGGCAGCCTGGCGTTCACTTATGTTGCAGCGAACAATGCCAATGAAAACCGCGTGAGGAGCGGGTTTTGGTGTGTGCGGTTCACACGCACCTGAATGCCATTTGGAGGGTGTAAATCCGGGGAATTGGTACTGGATGACAAACAGCACAAGGAAGGTGTTGGGCGCCAGCATGCCAAAATACGCCTGCTTACGTTGTTTGGTACAGGAAAATCGGTTCACATCAGCAACTCCGTTTACTAGTCAGGTTAATAAGAAGCACCAATTTTGAAAACTGGCGTAGTTGCTAATGCCAAAGGTAACTGAATCAGAGGAATTGAGCCAGCAGAAGAAAAACATCTGTGCATAGCCAAGGAAGATGGAGGATTTTTCCCATGTTTGGCTATTTTGTTAAGAGTCATAGCACGATTCCAGTGAGATGATGGCCTGTAAACCTACGCAAAAACCCATATGACGCTTATAGCGTAATTTCCACAGTCCAAACTAACTAAACCGAATTAGTAGACCTTTAATATACGGATGTATTGCCAGTAAATTGTTGAGGATGTACGCAAGTAGCAAGCTGCTTACAGGTGTGACTGTGGGAGTTCAACTGAAATCATTAGTGTAAACTAAAAGAGAGTCTTTCGATTCGCGAGTCCTTCTTGCTTGACCATCGCCTTTTCGAAGAATGGCCGAGGTTGGAAGGTCCTTGGATGAGTGGCCCCAGGATCGGATATTTTTCCCGTTGTGTGGAGATCTCACATCACGCTTGTTGCGGTGTATGCGTACCAGCGACGGCTCTTCTAAACTGTTGGGAGTTGTGATGACTTCCCCGAGAACCAGTCGATGGTCAGAAGTTTGTAGTAGCTGATTTTCGTTGTTTATCACCTGGTACGTATGAGCCCGTCGGGTTTGACCGGGGGTGGATTCCAGCGTCCTCGAAGGCTCGGGCCCGAATTTACTTTCAGAACATGTTTTGCTTTTTGATGACTGAATACCCTGGGGGAGCAATTAAAACGTTATTTGAAGGGGCGGTAAAACTGGATGCAGGATAGCTCATATAGGTCCCAGATGAAGCTAAAGTGGTTAACGGATATAGAGTTGGCAGTTGCCTGTTGCACGCCGCTAATAGTACTCGATGGTTTTTAACCTGGGATTTACGAAAGATTGTGTGTGTTAACTTGGGACAAATCGTCCGAGCGCTAGGGTAGCGTTCCTGACGTCATATGTAGTACGCGCAATCTTACTACGATTGCCCTTTATCTTTATGTATCTCCAGCGATATCAACGTGAGATCATTGAAGCCGTAACTGGTCTACAATGGATCGGACAAATTCTGAGTGCATTGGATACGTGAAATACAAGTGAGCTAAAACTGTGGAGAAGCCATTGAAAGTCGTTCGATGATACAAAGCACTGTAACGGCCAACGCCTTCCAAGACGATATGAATGATGCACAAAGAATAATGCGGTTCTGTTCGCTGTTCACTCACGATGGTCCAGATTGGTAAGCGGGTCTTTTAATGAGGGAAGAGCGTTCACTATATGGATTCATTATGGCTGTTTCTTGGGGGTTTTGAAGAGCAATTTGTGCAAGAAAAAGGAGGCACTGTCGATCCTGGATGAAGAGAAGCTGGTAGGTAATGGTAGTTAACGACTGCCACTTTCAGGTCAACTGTAGTGGTCATCTAAGGCTACGATCTCTGAACATGACAATTTCTTCATACCACCAGCTTCAAAATGTCATGACAGTCATACCTTTGTGTTTAAAAACTCCATTGTTAGGTTCAACCGAACCTGAGCCAGAATTTTTGGGGACCGATAGCAAGAAAGTGTGCGAAGACTACTACATATTCACTGTGATAAGGAACTTAAAGAAAATAATGACAAATGGCTGTGACTTGACGAAGAGCTTCTTACCAGGTAGGATGGGATATGAGAAAACAATGCCATGGTAATGCAAAAGAAACAGTGTAATATATTTCGCAAAACAATCAGTTTTGCGTTTAATTTAAATTGGTCGTTTCGAAGTTTTGTGTCGTCGAAACGGGTAGCGTTTAATCAAAGTAGGCCACATAAACTCGTTCTATGTTTGGAGATCCTGAATTATGAGGGAAACATACGAAAATGGCTGATGGTCGTAAGGGCACTGTGCACCTCACGTACTGCTCCTAATTGGGTGCACCCTATACAACCTGCAACTAAGAACTTATCGATTGAATATCCAGTGGCACAATTTCGTCCATACTGATACTGTTTAACAATAACACCTGCTTTGTAATCCAAAATTTTTCTCGCACGCGGAGGTGGTTTGAAGAATAGAATTAAGTAAGAACATAGGCACGTATTGCGTGACATCGACTGCCGCTGCATTGGCAGTGGTCCGATCTGATGTCTCTTCCCTGTTTCTTTCACACAGTGGTCACCGTCACATAATAACTATTTACAGTGATCAGACGTACAAACCAGACTGCGCGTAAGGCGCCGAGGAGGCAACTTACAACTAAGGTGGCCCGCGTCTGGATCAATTAGCTGGCAGGTAAACGGAATTAAAGGAAGTACTAAGACTACGCAGAGTGAGGACCTGAATAAATCTTGATAAAGATCTATCAGCACATACAAAAGAGCCTACTTCTGACCTTATAGCTAAAGTAAAGATGAATGCATTCAAGGATTACACACTCACATTTTCCATCAGGGATCCCATGTTGTATCGATCTATTTCGTTTTGGATTAACATCTCCCGTTTTAAAAACTGCTTAAAAAGTTGCATATCCGTCTGACCTTCAGCATCCTTCCTACCACGTTTGTAGCAGTTTAGGAGATACTTTAGCTCGTCAATGTAGGATGACACCTGATGACTCTCTAGCTTGCCTGCTTTGTACTGTTCATACAGAGTATCCATTTGGCTGCGAAGTACGGGAACTTTGACACGTAGACATTTTGGATTATTGAGAAACTGTTCCAATTCTCTTAGAATGTCGCGGCTGGGGCGAGTCAACCGTACGGGGACATCTTGTGGATTGGTGATGAAAGCTTTTGTCACAGGACACTGAGTTGGCTGCCGAACCTCTGCAAACGTCGGTGGACTATTCAGCGTTGTTATGTCCTCGACTACGAGCTTCAGCCAGGGCTTGCGACGAGGGATAAAATTTGGACCCTGGGTGTGGGAAGGCAACGTGGTGGAAAAATGAGATGACCCATAAATTTATCCATGAAGATACACAAATAAACATATAAAAAGGGAAAAAATAGCCAGGTAAAAGTTTGAGCCGTCCACATACGATTTATTGGCCTGTAATTGCCTCAGTATCATTGATGGGTGTCATTGATGAGCGTATGTTGAATTCCTTCCAATATTTTCGATGAATGTCGTAATGCGTCGATGTGAATGCAATGGTTGGTAGACATCCTGACGCTCTGTCACGACAAAGCACTGAAGTGCATCAGCATGCAAAAAATTCGACATGAAAACTGTACCAAATGAAAGCTTCTAGTCAATAGGTGAACCTAGGCTACAGAATCCAGTCTGTCTGTAGTCGTCCTTAAGGAAATCGCAGGACTTAGAATACACCTCGAATAGTTCAGATCTCAAAACCGAATTTCCTCTTATGCCTAGAAATGTGTGGTAGTCAGTTGGTCCTAATGCACCGCCACCTGCTGTCTTAATTCTAAGCAGGGTACCTCGAACATAGCTAGTGCCAATCTCAATTTGGCACGCCTCTCGTGATACTGCGAATCTGATTGATCTTGGAGTCGTGCTGTTGCTGTGCAAAGCCTTTAGGATTCGTTTTCCATCGGACGTAGGAAAGCTCATTCGACCATCCAATAACACTTCATTTTTCAACACAAATATATTTGTAATCAATACTTCGGAGCAACTCTTTTTCTGTTCCACAGTCTTTCAGAAGTTCACGTCCAAAACTAATCATCTTGTCATGAAGAGTGAGTCAAATGGCACCACGTCCATTGTTTGTTCCGCCCCAACAATCTCGGCCTTTTAGAGGCAGTGATACCTGCTGTGCTATCCGTGTTGACGTTGCGCTACAGCTATGAGATGCGTTACGACACATGCACGCTCACCTAAATATCTACGTATGACCAAAGCCGGGTGATAGTCGATCCTATTTCAGCTGGTCAACTAACCCTGCAGATTCAGTCGAGCTACGCTTCAGGCATACAGCGATTTTTCACCTCCCGCCAAATCGACCTGAATCATAGGGAACGTCAACACTTTTTGAAGACACTTAAGAGCATCCACATTACCTGACATATGGCTTACATAGTTTGAAGAGACAATGAATTCTGTTATAATCTGAGGAACACGGACTACACTCGAAAATGTCAAGCTTACAAGCAAGTGAGTGATGCGAACATCATTATCAATATAAATATCAATATACACTAGACGAAAAGATAAAATACCAGTTTAGCAACTTGCTGCAGCAAGTTGACCAGCAGACAATTGGCCAAGATTTGGTAAAAGACTAACTTTTTCTCAGAATATCCAAACTCATGGAGGATGAAAAAACCAAGTAGTTTCGCCTGACGGTGTTTCGTAGGGACATTTCCCGTAATTTACGGGTAATACACGGAGGTTGTCCCATAGAATCTTGTGCCATGTTTAGGGCTTTGTAGATTTTGCAAACGTTTGCGGATATTCTTCGTTACCCATTGTTTTTCCACCAAACGATATGTACTCTAGGACTTGGATGTCATTAAGGCATTCACGATGGCTAGTCGGTAAATAGTGCCAGGTAGCACAAGAGTTGGACACCATGAGGCTACTAACTCAGCTCCAGGAGCATCAAACTAGCTTCATATGGACCATGAAGTTATTTACTGGAAATGATTGCCGTGTGGTTAGGGTCATCTGCATTCTGACACTTTTCAACTGTCAGAATCAACTCCTGCGGGGTGTGATCGGATTAAAAATAAACTTGGCATCTACTGCAAACATGGGATAGCTAATATTGGCTCGACACCATGCAGAACCACTGGACAATTATCGGAGAATAGAACGAGCACACACAATTATGTACTCACTGCGTGTAGGCAGCAGTGATCCCCTTATTGGCATTTGGTTGGTATGGGTCTCCGAATGCAGCCAAAAGAAAGAGTAGTGGTCAGAATTGTAGAAAAAGTGAATTTACTTCGTTCCGTTGGGCACAACTATGGTTGTTATACATGATAAAAGTTCATAAATAGTATCCCTCCTTAGATAAAATTTTAAAAAATCCCCCAAAATGAAACTATACGGTTGACTACAGATACATGACCAATGAGACGTATTGTACTGAATTCCCTGTTGTGACGCGATTGGTAAGGCAGTCAGCCGAGAATTCGAAAGCCGGGAGGAGGTGAACTGGGTGGACAGCAATGTGACCAACGACGATCCACTTCAAATTAGATTCAGATTAGTGAAAGTTTACCAGAAAAAGAAGATGAGCAAAGTAAACAAAGGCATTGAGATTTGTATTCAGGTTTTGTACTCTTCATCTAAAACGTCGTTGTGTGCGTTCTGTTTGTTGACGTATGTTATATTTCACCAAATCAATTGAGCAATCAGATGGCGTTCTTTCAGTATTCCGTTCTTTTTGTGTTGGACGCAATTTATGGACGGGAGTAAGCGCGCCTGGCCGCATACTCACAATCTTAATTGTGTTGCTGATCGCCACGATGATTAAGCCAAGTGGTTATCAGTACTTACACAATATTGTAAGCATATATAATTCATTATAGTACTTGCGGACTGCCATATCTTTGATATCGGCGTACCGATTTCCACTTCAGTTGGTTTTAAATTTGAATTCCTCCTTCTTGTCTTTTGTAGAGAGTTTCTATCATTCCAGGGCTGTGACGTAACGTGCCTAAGTGAACATTCTATTGTGGATATATTTCCCCGTTATTTTATTATTAGGACAAAGCAAATTTAGTGCCACGGTACTTTGTCATGACAGAGCTGATTGATTCCACGTATTCATACTATCCAAGAAGGAAGATAAATTTTACGTAACAGTTTGAAAGTGGCACACAAAAACACAATTAAGGGGATCAAAAGATTATATTCTCACCTGCACCGAAGTTCTTTGTCGAAGGTGAAGTTTCAAGTAGCCCGGAATAACGCCACCCTCAGCGTTTAAATTGGTTGTCAAACGGACATTGGCTGATTGTAGTAAGTCGGAAATGGTGAAGTATGTCCATCCGAAAATCCCAGCTCTTTTGGCTAACCCCCGGTTGTAATAGACCTGTAACGAATAAATAACCAAACGGACATTGATTGTAGTAAGTCGGAAATGGTGAAGTATGTCCATCCGAAAATCCCAGCTCTTTTGGCTAACCCCCGGTTGTAATAGATAGAC